GAGTCACCTCAGGAGGGGTTCTGGCATTTCCCCTTCTCTGACCCAAATGGTGTGGAGGTGTCTTCATAGGCCGAAATTTAAAAATCACTCTATGAGATGTTTGTAACAAGCACATAACATAATAACTAATCAAAGAGCTAAGCTGGAGCCAAGGCTATTTCAATTACTGGGAAAAAGTACGTGGGTTTCAGATAAAGCGCTACATTACATGTAATAATACAGAAGCGCATGTCACATGCACTCTGTTAATCTTATTCTTCCTTTGTTCAAGGTCCTCTGGCGGTACAAAGGAAAAAAACCAGAAACTCTGGGCTCCAACACCAGGGTTTATGACTGGATACCCCAAAATGACCTGCTTGGTGAGACTGATTCTATCTGGGATGCACTGTGCCCTTGGAAAAACTGTTTCCTTCTTTGTTTTTCCACTAAAATGGCTTATTTGGGGAAAAGAACCACATAACACTTGTGGCTACAATTAGTTTTGCAGCTTAAGCAGTGAGGGTTTGCTCTTGGAGCCTTAACTTCTTAGACTGCTTTTGACTTCAAAGTGAGGGGCTGTACAAGAACCATGGCAGATACAGCCAGGCTGTGAAGGGAGTAGGGGGCAGTGGCTCAAGAAGGCAGAACTTGAGCTTAGCTGTAAAGACGGATCTCTGAAGCAAAAGCCTCTGTCCTACAGAGCTCCTTGGCAATTGTCTGGAAGGGCTAAGAACCACCTGTAGGCAGCAGTTAACATCAAAGCAGATACATAATACTGCAGCTGGAATTGGCCTCTGCAGTTAATCTCCAGGGATCATTTTTCAAAATGCTTGACCTAAGCAAGGCTGCAGCAGGGCATGGTTGGGAACCCGATACCACGTAAAAACTAGAACTGCACAACAGCAGAAGGGCTGAAGTAACTCTGGGATATGTGCCGATTCACACGTGGCATTACAATAAATCGGAATGTGTGAAAGCTAAACATGCGAACTCCGATGCTGATCCAGAGGTCAGGGCCGTTCCCTTCTCTAGCAGTGCATTTGCCTGGGTAGCTTGCAGCGCTTACAGCCCAGTGAACGCAGTCTGCCACAGCTGCTGTTACACGTGCCTCTCCTTCCCTGTTCCAGGCCATCCCTTGGCAAAGGCCTTCATTACTCACGGTGGGACAAATGGGATCTATGAAGCGATCTACCACGGGATCCCGATGGTTGGGATTCCCATGTTTGCCGACCAGCACGACAACGTCGCTCACATGAAGGCAAAGGGAGCTGCAGTTGAGCTGGATTTCAGCACGCTGAAGACGCAGGACCTAGTTGATGCACTGAATACGGTCATTAACAATTCCACGTGAGTTTTGCTCTTGCCTTACAGTAGGATGAGGTTATTAAAAACTTGGGCTGCTGATGTCAGAAATTCTGCTGGCTCTTCTGGGAACCAAAAATACTGAGTAGCTGGCGTTTGGGTTTCAGATGAAAACCAGCTTTTACTTCTGAGAAACAACATTTCTCAGAAAGGAGAGATCAGTGATTTGATTTTCCTCACACTACCCTTCATGATTCCTTTGAGAAAAATAGTTCTTGGTAAGCCCAGAGCAGTCCTGAGACAGTTTCCTGCTCTCTCTCTCTTCCTTGCTCTCTGCTAGTATTTATATAAATCCTTTGTGTGTGTGTTTCCAGCACAAATCCAGAACATAGCCCCATACTAGCTACTATGAAAGAAATTAACTCTATCCCAGCCAAAAGCAACACACTGTACTATATCGTAACAAAAAATGCTGCAAATATTTCCATGTTGCTTTTTTAAAACAGTATCTGGAATAATTTTGAATATTTTTTCATTGCAAAAGACTGGCTTTCTCTTTTACTGTTCATAACCCAGTTTTATGCAGATAGGAGTAAACTGGGCCAGTTTCAAATATATTTAAATAACTTTGATGAAAATAAAAGCAGGTCTGTCTACCTTCCTCAAGAGGACTGCCAGGTACTGGATGGCTTGTTTCAGGAATCAGTGACAAATCCCCTTGGTTTCTTCCTTCTTCCCTAGCTATAAGGAAAATGCTCTAAGGTTATCCCAGATACACCATGACCAGCCAGTTAAGCCTCTGGACAGAGCTGTCTTCTGGATTGAATTTGTCATGCGTCACAAAGGAGCAAAGCACTTGAGACCAGCTGCACACCATCTCACCTGGTACCAGTACCACTGCCTGGATGTTCTGGCATTCTTGTTCACCTGTACAGTCACTGCTGTCTTCGTTATTGTCAAGTGCTGCTTATTTTGCTGTAGAAGATGTGGCAGGATTGCAAAGACAAAGAAAGAATAGACATCCCATTCCCATCAGCACTTTTTTTAATCCTAGGCTGATTCAGGAAGGCATTTATGCACATTCCTTGGTGAATAAAATTATTAGGATATGCTTTAAGCTGGGCATATCATGAAGCACCTTGTTGAACTGAGTCATGCTAAAAAAGATTGCGTGGGGCAGAGCTGCTTGCTTAGCCAGCAAATTCCTTCTGGCCTAAATGAGACTGAATTATAGTTGCTTTATACTTTGGGATCCTGTTAGCTGATCACGCACGGGCTCTAGAACAGTAATTGCTGCTTTAACTTTCCAAATTCATTTTGGTGTATTTAATAAATTCAGCCTTCCTACGTGTGGTACTGTGGGTCCCTAAATCTGCAACTAGTCTCCTTACCTGAACTCTGCTGTGTCCTATAATGTCACCCAGGCTTGATGATTCACAGACAAAATGCCTCTCCTGTCCAAATAGCTCTCTCCAGATTGGACAGCAAAGCTAAGGTCGGGGCTCCTACAAAGCGCCCATCTGAATGGCCAAGATCATGAAAAACTGGGAGCTGCAAGTGGCTGGTGAAGCCTATATCACCACATTTTTACAAATGCACTCACTACTTGGGGGCTGAAGGGAGACCAGAGTCCTAAAACCAGCAGAGAAATTACTTTTCTGAGAACCACTTCTTTTCCATTCAGCCTGGAGTCTTGCTGCCCAGACCATCATTCTAACTGCAACACCCTAGGGGTGTGAAAACCATCTCTGTCAGGAACTTGCCCCTCTTAACTGCCAAACGCCTCTGAGCCATGCTAACTGATAAACGCAGGAAAGCCTCTAGCGATGAAACCTGCAAAGAAGTAAGACTGCATGTGGGAACACTGCAACAGTCACTTGCCTTGCCTGGAAAGCTGGAGGGAAAATAATGCCGCTCTTGGCTCAGATAACCGTGGTAGTAAATGCAGCACTCCTGAAATTGTTCAAGGTGCACTTGCTGGTGATTCCATTGCTGTGCCAGCTCACTCAAGCAAGAACCTGCCCCAATTTTAACTGGTATTTGCTGTATTCTGGATGCTGTGGAACTGTTTTCAAACAGAACAGGCTGAGGAAACACATTATATCTGTTTACATAATAAAATTCCCTACGCTACATTAACTTTTTTTATTAGCATTGTTAATAGTTTCAATGTCTGCTTCAATCTATTCATACTCCAATGTTTACTCAAGTGAATTGTTTCCAAACTTAAGAAGGGTCAGAACACAACTAGTGCTTCTCACGGTAGCTTCTGGTACACGGTTCTGTGGTCATAATGGGATCATATGCAGGAAGACGCATATTGAAATGCGCGTAGCGAACAGAAAGCGGAACATCGTGGCATTCAAGCCCCAGATCTGAAAGGTTTTGCTGTAACCTGTTCAGAGAGTTGAGTCCCTAGACACAGCTCCACCAAGCTTGATCACTAACACTGCCCATCATCCAGCTTCTGCAAGCAGATTTGCCGAGGTGTCAGTTTGGTTGCCGGAAGGCCAGCAAGCCTCCTAGCATACTGTGTAGGCACTGGTCAGACAGAGCTAACAAAGGACATGGGAAACAGGATAGCTGGGAAAAGTTGGACAGAGAAAGTGCTCTGCAGTCACTTTAAGGAGGTGCTTTTTTTCTGTAACCTACTTGGAAAAATCTGGCTTATCTAGTATTGAATTTAAAAAGTAAAAAAGAAAACCAAACAAAACCAAAACCCCCTCTTCTTTCTAGAATCTGTCTATAAAGCAGAGAAAGGTAACAAAGAATGAAGGTGATGCATCGCTCCAATTAGACACAGCATGTGTACTGAATCTGACAGACTGATCTGCTAATAGGCATACCACTCAGTGCACAGTAAACTGCTTTGAGGAACCAAAACATATGTTCAACTTCTTGTAGTGTTTAAAAAATCCCAACACACTTGCATGTTGGAGGTCAAACTTTCTGCTTAGCACATGTAGATGTTTACTGTAGCTGTGCAGACTAAAACATACAGAGCCCAAATTACTGTCAGATCTAAACCCCATGTGTTTCCGCAACTGCCACACCGTGGCCAGTCCTACATTGCAGTTTGTAAGAACAGCCACAGCACTCAGCATGTGGACCTGGAGGTCTTTAAAGCACGTGCTACAATCTGGCTTTGTTACATGAGAAGACACTAAAGAAACGTTATGAAGTCTGCCGAGACAGTGCTACTCATAAGAGTTTCAAGAACTAGGAAATTGCTGGAGAAACTGAACAACTTCCACTACAAGTTTTAATTTCCTCTTTTCACAACCATACCGTTGGCACTTCGATTCAAACATTTCCTATTTAAGAGAAATAACAAGCAATGCAGTAATCCCTACACAGAAGACACGGGCAGAGTCTGGATCTTGCAGGACTAATGCACTCCTGGGAGACAGGTATGATTATGGCCAAGGTATGATTAAAGCCTCTCAATAGCTCAAAGGTCATTTGGTTAAGTTGAACATGTAAGGGCCTTGACTCTGACTAGCTGGAAGAGCTATAAGCTGACTACTTTACTGAGGAAACAGAAAAGCAATTACCTTTTATTTCAGCAGTCCTTTTCCTAATTCAGGCTTTGGATCAATTTCATCTATCACAAGAACCTTTGAACTATTTTTGAACACAAATATTTTCTTAGAACTGCCAGAATCTGTCAAAACTGGCAAGCTTAGAAGACCAAGAAACCCGATATGGAGTTTTAATCATTTCAATAGTTACCAATTTATTTTTATAAAAAAAAAAATAATGGTAGCAATGTAGAATACAGCAATATTTTCTGGTTCCACACACGCAGGTTGTGAACATTCCAAGCAATGTATACATTTTGGAAGGAGACTAGACAAGAGAATTGACCAAAATGTTACTGAACATGGGAAGATTTTTAAAAAAGGTTAAAAATTAGATATCAATAATGTCTTCTTAATATTGCTTTCATTACTGAAGACTGAAAAAACACTTGACTTTACAAGATAGCGTTAAAAAACAGGGGGCGAAGGAGAAACAAACAAAAAAAAAAGGCTGCTACAACACTGCCATACAGTCAAAAAAAAAAAAAAATCATACTTCAATATTTGCATACTTTATAGCAGCATTCTCCCACTGAACCATGTGAAACTACAGGAAGAAAACATCAAAGCAAAAAAAAAATATGGCAGTTATCCATCAGTATTCAAAAACCTAGAATGAAGTCACTAAGTAGATGAACACTTATGAGAATTACTATCTACACTCTTAGCCGTTTCCCATTCTGCTCCAACAGAAACGCGAAGTTGAGTGTCAGCTTTGCTTATTTTATTTTTGGCCGATTTGAGTTTTTCCAGTTTGTGGTTCACTGCATGCTTGGAATAGAGAGGGTCATTATAAATCCTTCTACACAATGAACTTTAAGTAGACAGCTGAAAATAAAATGTACTACTTGTAAACACACAAAAAAATACAAGCTTTTTTTGTTTCAAGTGAGCACTGGTTCCAGATAGATTATCTTCGGTATCTACCTCTTTCACCTCTGTCTCTGTCCCGGTCACAAATCCTTTCTCTCTCCCTTTCCCGATCGCGGCCTCTGTCACGTTCTCTGTCTCTTCTATTATCTCTAGGACGGTCCCGTTCCCGCTCTCGGTCCCTCTCCCGAGGCCTGCTTCTCCGACCGCTGACAACTGCTTGTGTGCGGCGAAGAAAGTCATCTACTCTCATGTCGTAGTCGTGCTGCGATGAAAGGATAGCTCTGTTCATTTTCTTTCCCAGATTAAAATCTCCCCTCCCTTCCCTTGTCCATAGGACTGGTTGTCTCCTGGGAAAGCCCCGTTATTTAAAAAAAATAATTATGTCCAGCATCCATAAGCACAAGTTTCTTCTTTCATCTTCAGGGCAGCACCATGTCTGTGCTTCCACTGTGCAGAAGCTGGGGTTCAAATGCCAGATACCAGCAAGAGACCTGAAAACTAAGCAGCCTTCAAAGCCAGCTAACAAAAATTACTTAACAATCTGCCCTGTTTTTCTCATGTACTGTAAAAAGTTGTAGACCTTAAACTCTTCTGCTGATAAAAGTAATTTGCTGTGCATGAGTGCAAGCAATGTTACAGGCCTGTCCTTATTCAAGCTGGGCTTCAGTATGGGAAGATTCAGAGCTAGACAGCTGGAAGCCATTTTAAGCACAGAACTCAGTTTAAGAGTATTTTGCACATCTACATCACCTGGGAGACAGAGGCTTTTCAAAGATGCCGGGTCTCTAGTCAATCTAAATAACTGATCTTTCCAAGGAAAAGTAATATGGCTTTTAAAAACGCAATTTATCAAAGTAAACAAATCTCAGATTAGGCTACATCTGCACCCCAAATTCCTACTCTGGCCTGCAGACTCACATCCCCCTCCGTCTCTGTGGACACTTACTACTCGTTTGTCTCTGTATCTTGCTTCATGTGGTACAGGATGATGTCCTGAGTATGGAGGGTGAGCTTGAGGTGGAGGTGCATGGTGCTGATAATAAGGGTGGTGTGGTGGCTGCTCCATACCTGGATACGGTGGCTACAAGAAAGTTACAGGAAGGTTGTTGAGCATTTCAAAAAAAAGGAATGCTGCACACAAGGCTGAGTGCTGGGAATTAAGAGCAGAGGTTACTTTCATTCAGATCGAAAATATGACACCTAAATCTACCCGATCTCCTAACTGAATGGCAGACTATTTCATTAAGTTGGCATGCCTTACTAATTCTCTATCGTTGCTTTTTTAGAAGTTCAGCCAACACCCTCCCCAAACACGCCTGCCTTCCTTATCTGCCTTGAAGTGATACTGTACATAAAACATCTGCTACTTAAAATTTGCTGTTTGTGGGTTTTTTTTTTTTTAATCTATGCATATGGAATGTGTATTTTGTCAAAACCAGCACACTTACAGAAACGAGTCTTTTCAGTGCCATTCTTTATGAATATATTCCTATTTAAATGAACAAACTTAACTCTGCAAAACAAAAGCTAGCAGATAATTTGGGTTTGTTTTTTTTTAATCTCTTGGCTGTTCTCTTCCTTTTCTCCAATCAGCAAGGCTTTTCTTTCCCATATTACCAAAGCATCTTTGCTTGCACTGTTGTCACAAAGGAAGTAGGTGGAAGTGCTGGATTTTAGGCTGACTACTCAGACAGCATGCAGAATGGGGAATAGCGGGGGGGGGGGGGGTTTCTGGAGGTTTAGCTGTGCTTGAAAAAACATTTTCCTCCCAGTCTGACAACTTTGTTTGCTTCCTTCAGTTATGACAAACCAGAGTGGTGCTTCAGCTGAGAAACATGAGAAGCTATAGTAGCATCACTACATCTGGCACTGCCTTTTGCTCATTCACAGTCTACACAAAAGCCAAAAGACTCATTACAGTTATCCAAAATCAGGACCCTCAGGGCTAGAATCACTAAATATAACCAAACTAACTACTTATAATGACTATTCCTCCTGACATGATGGCAAAACGACAGCTGCACAAGTGAATTATCAGTTAATTTCCATGTACGTAGCCGTAGATGTATGTTCATCTGACTGGGGAAAAAGTGCATTTCAGTGGAGGCTGCAATATAGCAAGACTTATTTTGGTTACTGTGTGCAGTACATTCTGCTACTTTCCTGCATGCTTCACTGCCATAGCCAGAAGCGAGCCACTGCGCAACACCAGAGCATGCCAGCCCATTCCACGAGCCTCTGCAGCAAGTCCACCTCTTTGGTGCATTTGCTGTTTGAGAGAGCGCCAATTACTATGAATATTTAGCAGAATACAAAATTTCATCACACCCTCTTGCGTAGGCTAAAGGAGGGTTCTGCTATTTCCTCAGAGCTTTCAGTTTCTTGTAGGTTCAAACCAAGCCAGATTGTTGCTGCTGTACTGCTTACTACAATGTTGGACTATTGCTGAGAGCTAAGTAAATTATAAAATACTTGATCTAACTATTTTTTTCTCCTAAAAATTTTACATAGTTACAGCAAAGATACATTTTAGGAAGAGTCGAGTGCACATCAAATAATTTAGGCTCCTCTAGAGGGGAACAAAAAAAAGCCATATTCTACAGAGAAAAACTGAATTCAACAAGACACAAACCATTCCTTGCCATGGTGGTGGTGGTCCCATGTTGTGGAATTCCCTCACGTAATCATTGTAGGACTAAAATGAAAGACAGCAATATTAACATTTGTGATGAGTGTCCTTTGGAAGCGCAGAGAGCTGAATATAAAAAATTCCCCAGAAGTCCACATGCACCAACTTACCCCATTTAAAAATACATCTCGTCGAACTCCTGAAAATCGTCTGTTGGGAATAAAAATTTGTAGAACTAAATCCAATTTATCCATACAGACAAGTTACCAGGGCATAAAATGAGTAACATGAACACACCTTACCTGTCTACTTCGGGATATCTGGGATCCTTTATATACCCTGTTCGAACATCAAGCAGTATTAATTCAATTTACCATCTCAAGTTAACAGTCTTAAAAAAATAGCTCATTAGAAACTGTCCTTTCATTTTGTGTCTGCTATGAAGTTGTGTCTACCTGCGACTACCCTTGCATTGAAAAAAGTCTCAAAAAACTTACACCTTCTTGTACACAGTATAGAAAAATAGTATAATGTAGTAACAAAATTATACAGATACACCCATAGGAACATGCACACAGTACAAACAAATATGCACGGGGTATCTATGCAAAAAAAGAGACTTGAATTTTAGTCAAATTAATTGGGAACATCCACAAATTTGAAGGGCACTGTTCCCTGGCAGTCAGCACATGGGTATTACTACTCATTAACTGTGTATTCAGTAGAATGAGTTCATCTGGGCAACTCTTAAGGCTGTTTTCCTAATAAGTTTTGGATACAACGTTACACAGAAAATTAAAAACAACCAAAAAACCACCAACTCTGGAAAAGCCCCACAGGGCAAAGAATTCTTACAGCTTCTCCAGTAAATCCCAGGAAAAGAGCTCATTAAAATGGTGCAAAACACCAGGCATGCCTACGCTAGTAAAATAATGCTTCCGAGCTTCATTATTTAAAAAAAAAAACTGTTCGATACTCTAAATAATGGTCTTGGAAAGCCAGGGAGCAGCAACAACACTCTTTTTGCAGCAAAGAACACAGGCTTTGCAGTCAAGCTGGACAGATAAAAGCAGGTTCTGAAAAGATTTAGAAATCTCATATTGAAATAATGGACTATGTATTCCTAACAGCAATGAAGCAAGATTCAGTAGATTAAAAGTGACAATTTCTTAATAATTGCTATCTGAAGAAAAAAAAAAAAATCTGCAATATTACCAGTGTTGCTGCATTACCTCTGCAAACATTCTTTCTGGAGAACAACAAAATTCCTTTCTCAAATTCATCATCAGACCCTCTTGTAAAATGCAGTGAAACTTCGCCCTCCCTTCCTCATGTCAAACTTGACACAGGCTGATAGTCAGGCAATCTCAGCTGACTTTCCCAGCTGGAATTTCTGATAAACATTTTAATTTGAAGATTAGTGCACTGACAAGTAGGTCAAAACAACGCTTGTGCCCATATTAACAAAGCGCTTGAGAGGATCATTCACAACAATGCACACAATTCTCAGACTCTTAAAAGGGCTCAGCCTAGATTAATTCAACTTTCTCAAACCAGTGAAACAGTAACACTGACTTCTGCAAGAGGTGGTTTAAACCAGTAGGCAGCACTTGGGACAAGTCCCATTTTTATCACCCAGTCACATCAATAACTTTACTTTTGAATTAATGAGGATATACTACAACACTTGTGAATAGGTGCACACAAATCTTCATAGTAAGATATTAACCTGGTCTTTGGTGAAACTCAGGGGGATAGTCAATCCTTGGTTTCTTTCTGCTGTTATGAATATCATAATCTTCTGGTCGACGCCTACACAAATTAGATATCAAAGATTAAACAAGGTTGCTTGGAGCATTCGTCACAGCAGAATACCTCACAGGAATAGCTTGAGCTGCCCAGGATCTCAATTTAATCATTCTGAATTCCATCTGCTTCAAAATGTTCTACAGCTTTAAATTTGAACTCAAATAACCAGGAACAACAGTTTGATTAAATACCCTCCACTGTTACTTTCTGGGTACAGGAGCTTTGGTAGTTAAGGGAAGAACTCTACCCAACTGTACCTTCCTACCAAAAAAAAAAGGGTAACAAATTTGTCTAAAACAGACTTAGGCTTTAACATTCACTTTCCACATTACATTTTGAAACAACCTACTGGATAACAAAATATTTTACAGAACTAAATACAGTGAAAATAGATGGCAAAATACATCATTACAGTCAGAAGGCACGGACATTACTGTATTTGCCAGCTATAGAGTTCTTTCTATAAAAGGCCTATTTCCATAACATTTATCAATAAAACGGTGCTTGCTTTGTGAAATTGCTTCTTTCACCGTAGCTTTTCTAACTGGGTAGGCCAATTATACTATTTCTAACAACTTCTGTTCTAAGCAATTTACCAGCAATGCATCGGTGCCTTTTACAGAACATTTAGGAACGCTTAAGCTTAAGCTTCCTTGTAATTAAAGTAATCGGACTCCTTTCTATACAAACAGCTCTTTTACGGAAAAGATGTTATCTTTAAGAACTTCACTTCTTAAAGAAGGAGGTTTGATTATAAAACAGTTACATTCCAGTTGCTATTACGTTTAATAAAGAACTGAAAACTGGCTGCTAATTTTGCTCCACCCAGGTACATAAACATTAATGGGCAACTCCAATGCTAACATAACAGTGTTTCTAACCACAAAGCAGCTACAAATCCATTCCCTTCCCCCCCACCCCAGCAATGTAATTTCTTATGACAAGACATTAACGCTTTCTTAAATTGCTTAATTACTGTGCAACTTGCTCACGGAGTAACAAGCTCATTAGCTTTTAGTTTTATAAAGAACCATTTCTCCTCCCCCTTCCCAACTTCAGTCTTTAAAGCCCACCATACCCAGTTACTAAGCTTTTTTTAAAATGAAAGCAGATTCTTTACTATGAGCAAAAAGCCCAAAAACCAAAGCAGTTGCATCTACAGCAAAATCAGATCAAGGAAAATAAAAGCTGGTGTAAAGAATAAACATACCGCTTTCTTGTAGTTTTGAGAGTGCATTTACGACCGGTATAAAATATGATAGAAACAGTTCATATAGTAGTCCAACTACTGACTTTAAGCTGTAAGCCACACACATAAATGGAGGCCCTGGCAGGCTTGAGAAGGTGTGGTGCTGTTATATGTATAGTTTGCAGTCCATTGCAAAACCTTCACTTGTATATACTTTATTGCACTGGAAACCTCTTAGCTTAACTTCAAAAGCCATCTTGGTGTTCAGTCCTTTAAAGCCAAAAATAAGGGGGCGCTGCCAGGTTTCCTCCTACCTACTCGTTACAATGTCCTTTTTTTAAGCTCAAGGAAATGGGGACTCTTGTTGGTTATCTGTACCTACCACAGGATGTTTCCACAGAGAGGAAACTTAACCAAAGGTTTCAGCCCAAACCATACATCAGTCTGTATGCAAAGTGGCTACACAGGGAAAAGGTGTTTGGCAGAAGGGCTAGTATCAGTTCTTTGCAAAGACTTCTCCAATTCTGTAACAAGTTATACCCCTTTTTTCTGGAAAATGATGTTAAGTTCATATAGCAGTGATCAATAACCATGTCGATCCTCTAAAAATACTTTAAGTCCACAGGTACTGCCAGCATCTGGAAAGGTTGTGTATACAGACACAGCAACAGCCATTCTTTTTGGTTTGTTGCCGGGTCTCCAAGGGCCACTCGATCCCTTTTGGAAAGAACCTACTGTTTTCAGAAGCTCAGCAAGATGTGTGAATTCAGTGGTTACATGTTAGAGAATATTTGGCAATGGGGTTAACACATCACGGTGACACAATTTGAAACAGTCCCAATAATGCTCCTCTTGAATATCAAAATAACTTAAATATTTTATCCTCAAAATGAGGCGGCATCTTCTGCAAAATTCTAAGTGATCCTTATAAAAGTCCCATATTTGATAAGGCTTATCCAGAGACACACCTGAAAGAAAAGGCTTTTACAAGATATTAACACATTTTTGGCAAAGAAATATTTCCTTCTCTCCATCTAGCCTGCTCAATCAAGCCAAGCTTACCTACAGCTAGCATTACACGTTGCATTATCTCAATAAATGATCTGGTCTAAACTAGACAGGACTTTAAAAGCTTTTTTTCTGCAAAAGCAAAGATCCCCATTTTCCTCTTGAAAAATGACAGACCAGGGAACCATGCGAAATCCTCAATGAAGCCACAAACTTGTCCATGCAGCTTGATTTGAGGATTTTCTCTCTTCTTTATCGCAGGGAAAGCTTTGACGAATCATATTCCTCCATCCCGTTATTCTGATACATGTGCCTATTATCAGTCCAAAGAACGTTTCTAACCTTCCCACGTCCCGAACGGGGTCTCGACGGGATGGGCGTCCTCTTGATCGGGGTTGTGAGTGCATTCTTCTCTTGTGCCTCATTTTATGAATGACTTGATACAAGTCAATACTTTCATCAGGAGGGAAGAGAAGACAAAGTTGGGTTCCACATTCCGGCTCAATTTCCTAGAATTAGTTAGAAGTTCAGTAGTGGTTTATAAACTGAAGAAACGAAACTCTCCCCAAATACACTGACAACACACATTAGAAAAAAAAAAAAAAACAACAAAAAAACCACTTTGAAGAGACTTCAGTACCACTAAAGACCGAGCAAAATTCACTTACATTACCTTTCACTCTTTAGGCACTACTTAGAATTTTCATAAAATAGTCCAACACTTGGGGCAACCATATCTTCCCATAAGACATACAGGCCACATCACTGTTTTGCTACAAAATCAGAAGACTGTTTTTCATCACAAAGAAAATGATCACCTATTACAGAGAGAAGAGTGACACACGTAGCAAAAAAAAAATCCATCCCAGCTTCACATATAAAGGCATGGCCTGAAGAAGGTGACTATTATCACTGAAAAGTGAGTTCTTCAGTGTATGATAGACAGGTCCATGAAAATACCAGCTCAATGCCTGACAGCAGCCAAAACAAGCAAACTGTGTGTTCAGGTTTATTAGGAAAGGAATGCAGAATGAGAAAGTCATTGTACCACACTGAAGGTCCATGTTTCACCCACACATTAAATACTGGGTGTGGTTTCTGCATCTCAAAAAATAGGGGGACAGGAGAAACAGAAAAGCTTCAAAGTAGGGCACCAAGGATAACTGAATGAGAGCAACAATTCCTACGTGCAATGTAGGAATGTATTCTAGGTCTTTCCAGCCTAGAATAAAAGATGAATACGTTGGACATGGGGGACAAGACTGATACAATGGGAGCATCTGACACCACGGGCTGTTTGGAGGACAGAGGGACAGAGATCAACCCTTCTGACTCCCTCTTCAGTACAAGATCTCAGGGCCATCACATGAAGCTAGGAGGAGTCAGGTGCAAACAATCCAAAAAAGTGCTTCTTCAACCTGGTGACTAGCCAGCCTCCGGAACACCTTCCCAAAGGATGTCGTAAACGCATAAACATTCAGTGTGTACGTCCTCAGAAGAAAGATCCGTCCAGGGTTACACAAAATGTAAATGGATAAACAACCATCACTTCAGGAAATATCCCCCGCTGACAAGCTGGGAGAGCAAGCATCAGACAATGCTTGCCCAGTACCTAACTGTACAACAATTCTATGAAAAAAGATGAACCCCACGTCTGGATTGCAACTCTATAGCGAAGTGGACAAAACATGAAAACATTTATTTCGTTGACCATTTAACAGAAACAAATTTAATTGAAGTCCCTTAAATTCCCCCCCCCCTTTTTTTTTTTTTTAAGTTCATACTACATTAAAAACACGACTGAAAATATTGTTTTACCTTTGCTACCCAACCAAGTGAACGTGTCTATGGGCAAAACAACACACACAGTCTACAATTTTGCACACAGAATGGGGATTATGCAACTCCCATCTTGTCTTGAGAAAGCAGAACCTGTTATCTTAGTCAAGGCTGGGTTACTTGATGACAGCAACAACATACCTGCACTCTGGTATGTCTGACAAGATAAAGAACCACCCCACTTAAAATTTATTTAGCATATACTTCATAATGGTGGAGTCTATGCCCTAAGCAATACAGTATAGATAAAAAAAATGCAATGCAGAATACAGCTGCAAACACCAGAACTTGTTCTTAAAAACTGATGCTGTATAGGTTTGCACACTACACAATGCAAGGCATGTTACATTTCAAATCCAAAATATCACAGTTTTGAAGCATCACACACTGTTTATCACAAAGATGACAACAGAAAGGCACCACATTGCTTTCTGCTTCATTGTTCCGCAACATTAGAAACAACAGTGCCTTTTGTACTCTACTGCAAGTAACAACTGATCTAAACTGATCCCAAATCTTCTGTACATACAAAGCTGAAAGCAAGCACTAGAAGATGTGGTTTATAGGAAAAGAGTAAATTAACAAACCTGTCCATCACGTCCAATCTTTACTGGCTTATGTTCGTTCCAAGGATTGGTCAGGTGAGCAGACTTAGTGAACGGCAATTCACGCCTAAACATGCAAGTGGCATCATTTATAGTTTTGCCCCCGTTTTTTGTAAAAAAAAAAAAGTTTAAAAATGCATACAGCAGGACATTACATAGAAAACAATCCTGTTACCCTTCGCACTGTGAGGTCTCTGAATGAACGAATTAGTATGTATTAAGTACTAGTTACTGAAAATTTCACTTTGACGTATTCCAATATCAACTTGTGTAGTCCATACTATGACAGCCTACCTTACTAAAGAAATTTTTGTTGGTCTTTGTACAAAATTGAGATCATGCTTGCTTGTCATCTCACCATCTGAATACGCTGACCAGTCTCTACGTGAGGCGGTAGCTCATGGTACCTACAGAAATAAATCCCTGAGCACCTGGCCTAACTATGAAGCCAGAATGCTTTAAACTGGAGGTGGGTGTCAGTAACTTCCAGAGGACCTGTCCAACATAGATGTTTCTCTAATTTAAAGTCTCACCTTCCCTGTATTTAGTCTTTCTGGCAGCCCAAAGTGCCTGTACAACCATGCAATGTATCTCACAGGACTGATATAGCTCTTTTTCTTAAGAGAGGTCTAAAACCTTTGCTTTAAGACATACTCAGTTAAGTCAATGAACATCCTGCTCGCAACCTATACACTATGCAAAGTATGTGTACTACTTCATATGTTATTTTAAAGCAGTAGCATTTTCTTTGTTCAGTCAGATGCCAAGAGGTCAGATGAAGACAGATCTGTCCTTACAGGATTTTTTTTTTCCCCCCCTTTTATCCACGGCTGTCTATTCAGTTGATTTTACTCAAAGACTTCAGAATACAGTTTCCTGGTTTCCGTGTCAGAGATCAACGAAGCAACATGAGTGTTAAAAATCTCTAAATTAACTGTCTACATTAAAAAAAAAAAAAAAAATTCTATAGTGCATGTCAGGTACAGACCAGCGTCCCAAGCTCAGTAAGATGAAGGTAGGGATCTGGAGAGATTGGAGGAGAGGGCTCTGGTTGAGCCTCTGGCTTCCAAAAGGATGCACTCGAGCAAGTAATACTCAGAAATGGTATTTTTTAATGCCTTGTTACTAAACAGCAACATAAATGAACAATTATTTACCTGCAAATCCAGTCAATTTTAAAGACACCTCCCAACATTTTTGCATTCATTCCTGCAGGCAGCACCCAGTGTATAGGTGATCCTCCATGATGGGACTCTGAAGACAGTCTTGCAAACCCTAAAGGATTTCATATGAATTGTAACAAAGACACAACAGAAAAGCTATTGCGCATAAAACTCACTTTCACTTACCTTGATAATAGCTCACTTGCCCTTACCTTGGAATTTGCCACTCTCTCTCACAGAAAATATCAAAATAACACTCCTCGCTGATCGAAATGCAGCATTAAGCTTCTTTTCATTCACCGGAAGTGTCGACCATACTCCCTAAAACAAAACAATCCCCACCCCACCACCAAAACATTAAGAGTTCATCTCAAGTGATTTAGCTAACAGAAGTATATAGCGCAGAAGATGAAAACAAGACCAAAACAGTGTTCTGGGATGGAAGGTAACAGTAACAGGAAGGTATTGCTAAATTCAGTTCCTTCACAAAATATTTTTGGCCTGCCCCAAGATAAAGCTTTTAAAACACCGTCTTTTCAATATTTTTTTGAATGTTACAGATGCATTTAGAAGTTGCGGATGCTCCATTCCTGGAAGTGTTCAAGACCAGGCTGGATGGAGCCTTGAGCAACCTGTTCTAGTGGGAGGTGTCCCTGCAATGGCAGGGGGGCTGGAACTAGATGATCTTTGAGGTCCCTTCCAACCCAAACCATTTCATGATTTTGTGATCTATAAGGTTTCATTTGTAATTATACTGACAGATAGATACATGAAAACCTTTGCCTTTAGTATTTTTAATGTATGTTTTAAGTGACTTTGGGAGTTTGTGTATCATATAACACACGCAAATTATGAAAAAAACAGCAGCATATATACTGAAAAGTGGGCAGGTAGACTTCAGTAACCTTCTTAGTATGATAGATTTATTGAGGACAGCTTGCAGACTTTAAAACTCTTTTAGTGAAAGGCCAGAAACATTAAAGACACCAGATCAACATTTTAAATTGGCAAGACAACTCAGAACAGTTTGTTCAGCCGCCCACATCCCCACCTACTAATTCCTACCTTTTCCCTTTCACCAGCCATTGTGTAGCCATGCACAATAAAACCCAATCTGTTTTAAAAGTACTGACCGAGCTGAGCTATAGAATACGCATTTCTCATTACTTTTCAGCAAGACCAGCTCCACATTCTGTTCCCTGGACAAACTCAGAGGAGAAACTTATGCCGGTTTAACACATTGAAGCTTCAGCCTCAGTATATGATCTAGGCTCTACCAAAGAAAATGTCCCTCCCCTTCCTTTTTTATTGAGGATATGTTTTCATGTCCTACTCTGTGCTCAAATCAGCGCTTGTCTGACTCTGACAGTTCATTAGAGTCATCAGAGAACTATCAGCAACTTTTTACTAGCCGGGAATCACGGGAATGTAGGAGTTGGAAGGGACCTCAAAAGACCATCTAGTCCAACCCCCCTGCCAGAGCAGGGCCACCTAGAGCAGGTCACACAGGAACGCATCCAGGCGGGTTTTGAATGACTCCAGAGAAGGAGACTCCACAACCTCTCTGGGCAGCCTGTTCCAGTGCTCTGTCACCCTCACAGTGAAAAAGTTTTTCCCTATGTTAATGTGGAACCTCCTACGCTCCAGCTTGCTTTAAGCTGCTTGTGAAACCCTGATGTGAACTAGAGCAACATACTGCATTAGCACCACAAAAGCCAGTGTCATGAAAGCGCAGCAACAAAGCACTGATGCCTACATGCTGAGAGACAAAGCATCCAGTCCAAAACTTTAGTAACAAGGATACTGCTGCATCCCCAAGTGTGGATGAGGCACAGAAAGGATATAGTCCTTTAAAGAGCTGAAGCAAACACCAGTCAGAACAGTGTTCACTGCACAGACTGGACCCCATGCTGGGGGTGAGGGGGAGCCAAACCCATCCAGGAATTTTAAAATTAATCATTTTAATGCTATTCTATTTTAGAAAATTTTCACTAATAGAATCACCTACGCTGTGTATATTGTGTAACAGCAAACCAGCTATTTCCTCTAGAAGCTGTTCCAAATAACACTTTCAAATACAAAACCACCAGAGTGCCCTAGTGCCATTCCTCAGCAGCGGAAGTCCAGCGCACTGGGATCCCTCCCAAAGAACTCCCTTACACCAGCACTGCCAGAAATGGATTTCTGCATCATTGATTCAGATCCCCGAATCAACAGGAAAAAAAATTACTTTTATAGCATTAGATGGAAGCCAAAACCTTCTGAACCTCCTCACAGTACAGCAATTTGAACACAGGTGATGATGAAAGGGAGAAAACACCATCACAGCATTCCCAATAGAGGCTGGCTTAGGACATTATCAAATGGACCTTGAGGCTTCTTGTTAATCCTACTCTTATTAAGATAAACAACCAATGGTCTGGAAACTTTTCTAGGTAACAGTGGAAGCAGAATAGCTGCCCTTGAAGAATCAAGGAGCAGTAGCTTTCACCCTTGCCTCTACCAAGATTTGAGTGAGGGAGAAAAGAATGTATCTTTCTAAATGCTTTTCTATGGTACAGTGGGTGTGTTTGAAAATAGACAAAGTGATCAGTTTGAAGAAAATTCAACATACCTTTGCTTTAGCAAGTGATACGTTTTCATGGTTATTACTCTTGATGAGAAAGAATCTTGCATCTTGGAGAATGTATTTAAGTTTACTTGTTTGGTCTGAAAAAAACAAAGTGTCAAATAAGCGGAACTGTAAATATTTACAGTTGTCAAAAATGTTGCTTTGAGTGTAGACGGTTGTTTGTTTCCTTCAAAATACACTGCATCCCACCCAGTTCCTACCTATGTATTATCACAGTCAACCACCCAACTTGAAACTTGAAGTCTAAGCTGTAGAGCACAAAACGCCATGGGAAACCAAATCAAAATTAAAACTTAGATATTCAGGTAAAGAAAAAAATAAAATAAAATCAGCATGATTCAGTGATGTTCCGATACACTGGACTTATCTCCTTGCTTAAGAATCTTTGGCTAAATACTGGGTAACATTCGTATCAGCACAAGTCATCCAATAGAGAATGCTGAAGTGTTCCTCTTTTCAGATGCAAGCACTTCATCTTCTGCTTTGCCACCTCTGCAAGGAGCAAAGTGACCAAACTTTTCGCATTATCACCCTCAACGCACAGAAAAGTGGCTCAAGATTCACTTGTGACGCTCAGAACAATGACGTGCTCAAACTGATTTATATCGGAACATTACTTACAGGTAATTTCATGAACAGAGACAATGGCTTGCTATGGGGCATGCATTAAAAATTCAAATTTAAATGATACCTTTTTGGACAGCACGAACGGAAGATGATAATTTCTCATGCTTCTTTTCTGAACCTGTGTTTAGCCAAAGTACATTCGTTCAGATTGAGCCTTAATAGAGATAATATACAATTTCTACAGCCTTGTCACATACAATTTTCATTCATGACAAATTATGCTTTCTGGCGCGCACCCACACACACAAAAAATACTATTCAATGTGCACGAGTGTTTTGTTTTGTTTTGTTTTAGTTTTGGTTTTGTTTTTGGGATGTTTGGTTTGGGTTTGTTTTTTTAAAATAATATTTGAACAATTTCCTACTCAGAAAACTAGTCACTGAATCATCATCTTCCAAGTTTAAAAAAAAAGTGAAAATTCCACTTAAGCAACAGAATAGCATTAAAGTAACAAGAAAGCCTACTTCCCCCCCAAAGGTATCCACACACAACATGCTAGAAATCAATATAAAATTATACGAAGCTACATACCCCATAAATCTCTACAGCCAGTTATATTTATTTTACATTACACAGTAAGATTTGATGCAAGTCAGCATGACAACCAATAAAAGGAAAGAATACCTGCATACGATTCTGATGCAGAACTTCCACTTCTGTCAAAAACAATCGGAGAGATACCTCTAGCTCTCTTCCTCTCCTTCTTTTTCTCATCTAAAAAAAACCCATGACAAATAAAAGCAATATTTTAAGCATCAAGTGGCAGGCAAAAATCAAGATAAAAAGTACCGAAACAGGCAAATAACATCTGTAATAGTGAAGTCAGCATTTGGCTTGCACGTGAAAATTGTGGCTGCTGCCCCAGAACTATCACGCACAAAAGACGTAAATGCTAGTTACTCAAGCTTTTCATTCACAAAAGGAAAACAAACAGCACAGACCTAAGTAATTCTGTGCAAAGTTTAGAGACAGAATTTCTCTCCTGTCTGTTTTAGTGAGGGTGGTTTAGCTCCTCTGTCCAGCCTTCAGTCAAATTTGCAACACAGAGCACAAACTGTGTTGCAATAGTGATACAGGCTCATTCACTTGGAGCTCGATAAAATGACACAAGGTATGAAAACAAAACACTGTGGCACACAGGGACTTATTTCCACTCTTAGAAGCGTTGCATTATACTACAGAGCTTTTTAGAACAGTTATTACAGCTTCACTTGTCTTTAGGTTACACTTCTCTGTTCTCTAACTCCAAACAACACTGCTGAGCCAAAAAAGGCATTATGTTAAGCAGGATGACCACCTGTTGAGACTTCGGACAAGGAAGATACCCAAGAGGAATCTTAACAGAATTGCAAACTGCTTTCTCAAAAAAAAACCCAAACCAACAAAATCAGCAACAAACAGCCAAAACCAGAAGGATTTATGTCATTAATACTTCACATCTGTAAGTTAGGACCAGTTATAATATACAACCAGGAAGCGTTTGTTTCTAGTTTCTGCTTAAACATTTCTCTTTTTCTGTTTGCCCTAACAGCTAATCACAGCTCACTATCAACTTAAAATGAATTGTATGGGAAACTAAGCCACCGGATACCTAAGAAAATACTAATTCTGAAGTTTCAAAGCATTGAACAGCAAGGCCAAAGCAATCAAGAACACTACAAATCCTCAGCACGGTAATCCTGATATTTCCAAGTTTTGGTGTAAGGAAATAACAATTTCCAGTACATTTTTCCCTCGCCTACGGTATCTCATAATTAACATCTCACTGACTTATGCTACTAAGGCTTACTTTTGACAGTCAGGAAGGAGTTACTTTTAAAAGCAGCCAAACTTCCCATGGCAAGGTATTTCAGATCAGCATGCTAGATGGTACCTACCTGATGCATCTGAACCAGACCCAGATCTGACTGACCCATCCGTGAAAGAGGCAGATTCAGAATCAGAATCGCTGGCTTCACTTCGTGTGTCATAGTCATTTCCTTCTTTCTGATCTCTCTCATCCTGTTCATACTCTTCTTCGTCCTCCTCCCCATCTTCTTCTACCTCTTCGTCCTCCTCCCCTTCATCATCTTCCTCTTCTTCCATTCCTTCCTCCTCATTCTCTGTATTGCCTTGTTCAGACGAACCACTACTGCCGGTCTCGTGATCTGAACAATATTCCTCAGAGTTCACCTCTTCTTTAGAAGAATGGCTGGATCTGCTTGGTCTTCTATCCACATCATGCCTGATTCTCTGATGTTCAAAAAAAAAGCGAATCAGCAGTCACATAACATTGTCAAGATGCACACACAGTCCTAAGAGAATGTGCCTTATAAAAGTCTCATATAATTGCTTTATTTATAAGGCAGCAAGAGTATTTAATACCTCTGAACCATCTGGTGTAGAAGACTTCGCCCTTCTGTCAATATCCCTCTTCCTCATGCAGGTTTTTTCTGGTTGTCCTTTATAAGGAGGCTCCCTGGAACTGCTTGACATGCGGGTCTTTCGATCACCATCTGGGCGCTTGTTTCTATCAGACCTCTGATACTCTTCATTCTTGTATTCTGATACTGGTTTTCCCTTCGTACTCACTATTCTCTTGTTATTGCTAACTGATGAACTAGGAGGCTTTGGCATCATCTGCCTCGAAGAATGCACAGAAGGTTTTTGCCTCTTGCTTTCAGCGTTTTCCATCCTGTCAGTTTTTCTTTTTGATCCTTAAACAGAAAGAGATATGAAGTTCACTTTTATTTTGTACATCGAACCAAGAACGGTACAGAGGCTCCCACTTTCTCTGCTTTGGGCAATTCCCCTGTTGCAGTCATCCGCAACATTTTCCAGCTGCAGGCTTTGCAACAACACTGCTTGTTAGGGACAGCTCGTGTTCCAAAATATATATTTTTCTTTAGAAGACCAACCCTTTAGGCTTAGGTAGGTGTTTTCTAAATTTTATATATGGGAATGCTAAATTATAGGCTTATGGGATTTGCCTAAAGTCAAATCAAGAGCTGAGCTGCAACCAGACTTTGGGACACCCTTGCTCCATTTCCATTTCACTTCATCGAACCAAAAAGGACAAGTCATTTTCTAACAGCAAACGGATTCACAACAAGCCAGACTCAGCAATTACTTTTGAGACAAAAGGAAACATATTTAACTGCTTGCTTGGAATGCCAGGTGAAAAAAAGCAGATGTCCACAAAACAGAGACACTTGGAACACTTTCACTCTTTGAATCAGGTTATAAAAGCTGCTACTTCAAAGACTTTAACCCTAATAAGAAAGATTTTTTTTTTTATCATCTATCTATTTTTTTTATCATTTATCATTCCTGCAGGATGTCCACTACCAGTGCCACCTACCCTTTTTCTCACTTTTATCTTGCTCGCTGTCAGGGTTGTACAACTCATCATCTTGGTCAGGAGCGTCAGTCAAAATGTCATCCAGAACGTTCAGTTCACCATCTGAAAACAAAACAAAACAAGCTAAAAAAAACCCTATTAAAAAGTCCGGATATGTAAACTACAGTAGAACCAGTATTTACAAACCCAAACATTTCCTTTAGGTTTACAAATCTGCCACAAGGCAAAAATTACCATCTTCGTAATTTATTTCCACAATTTCAGTTGGAAGGATCAAGCAAAGCCAATAAGAGAATTAAAATACGTCACAGGATGCATTTAGGCCTCTGAATAAGGTCCAAGTTGGCTCCTCACGTCACACAAGCTTTGCAGGAAAGCTGACCTACAAATGAAAGCTTAACAAAAAAGCCTGTACAAAGTTTGAGAAAAAGGAGACCGGGAGATAGTCCAAGTGCCATAAGCAAAGAGGAGGGACCTCTCTCCACAAAATCCTGAAGAACTGGCACCTTAAACTATCTCCCCTCCTGCCCCCCTATTTTTGTTGTCATCGCTAAGGGCAAGTTTTCTGGTTCGCCTACAGGTAGAAAAAAATGCAACAGGGCAAGTTAACAAGAAGAACATAAACTAGGTCACTCCGCTGAAGAAGGGGAAAGTAGTACTTACTTGCTGCATAATTAATTCTGAAGTGCTCTGAAAAAACCCGCTACAACTAATTCACCTAGATCAAAACGGCAGAAGTTTAAGAAAATTCATGCTACAAGCAGTAAATGATCACAATTGGTCACATGACTTTTAAAATTTGTCACCGTTTCCTACTCCGTTTCACTTTGTCTGAAACCACAGGGGACATACGGTGATTCTGGTAGAAGGATTCGCCAGCTTTAGGACAGCAGATCTATATTCCAAGCACTTTAAAAAATAAGAGTGAACTAAGCCTAAGCATGCAAAGGGAAAAATAATAGAAAAGGTATTAATTTTGGAATGTCGTATTTCTTCTCCCGAACTCTGGAATTCTTAGCTCTTTCCACTTCATATTACCATGATTGATTCTATTTTCTGTGTTCAGGAAAAGGAAAGTGGAGCAATCTCCAAGGATTCAGCTAGTTGACAGTATCTGTAGAAGACACACTGTACAACATTATAAAGCAGCAGGTAAGGATTCCTGTACTGTACAAAAATCAGGGTAAGGCAGCAAACAAAGTCCTCCAGAGCTTGGCAAGCTGTCCATCTCAAAGTCTTGAGCTGCACCACAATGAAGTTTTACAGCTTGATATAAAAAAAACCCGAAAACCCAATCCACACCAGAAAAAAAGTTAAGTTTTATAATTTTATCTCTACATACTACTGAATCTGAAGTCAGTATGTGTACTAGCTTTCCTGCTGGCATTTATCCATTTTTTCTGTGGTAGAGGAATGCAGAAGTGGACCCTGAACTACATGGCTGCTGCAGCTGATGCAAAGGAAGTGGTGCAGAGAGAGGTGGATCAAGCCTTTCCCTGGCAGTTCACAGTTAGAGGGTATTTAAATATAACACAAAGCTGCATCCTAACTCTTTCAGGAAGAGCCCTTTATGTTTGTAAATACCTACATATCTACAGCAAATATTCTTGCTGTTAAGGATGAAATATACAGGAGTTGGATTCATGGCTGTGCAACCACTAAGCACAGCCTGCAATTTCCTGGCTTGCATTCTGCTTCCCCACGGAAGACTAGTCAAGTTCAAAGCACAATTTTTTTTTTACTGAAGACTAATGAAAAAGAGGTGCACTAGGATTAGAATATTAAACATATCACCCACCTCAAATCACAAATATTAAACCTTGGGTTTGTTTCCCTCTTGATGAGGCAACAGCATACTTGCATAAACTGCATTTCACCTAGCCACTGCAGCAGCACTCAGAGATGCTAGAAGACTCACTTATCAGCTGGTTCACAAATAAGTGAGAGGATATGGAAAATTCAATGGAATAAGCAAGCCTGACACATACTTTCTGATAAACCCCTTTGGGGTTAGCTAGGCATGATTTACAGTTGGAACCTTAAACAAGTATGCAAAACACAGGAGCAGGATGAGTTCCCCCCCAACCCCTTCTGTAGATACATCTACCCGATTTATTTAAAAATAAATGTCCATATTTATTTAGCAGCCTGGTGATGCAAAAATGGCAATCCAAACACACAATTCCCACCTCTCACTTGCATCGGGTATACAGCTCAACTGACTTCCACACGATGATTCCACTCACTGAACTGTCACTGTTAGTGTTCAACCTGATGAGCTAAATTACCTCAGACAGATCAAGATAAGCTTCAGGAAAAGCACAAAAAAAGAAACAGAAAAATGGCAGAGGACAGATTTCTTACAATTCATCACTGCTGAAGGTGGACAGTCCAAATGAGCCCTTTTCTTTACAAACACTCCCAACTGGGCTCTCCGGCAACTCCTCTTTTGTTGACTCTGGGGCGTGTTGGATCCTTCCATGAACAAATTTAACTCACCTGAAACAGCAGGAAAGTAATCTGGGGAGGCCATTCTTCCTCTGCTAGCCATAAGCGTTAGATCTATTCAAGGAAGGGTCCAAGCAAAAATCTGATTTGGCAAACAGAGGGGACAAGACTTGGCAATTTCAAACTAAAAGGGTACGCAAGATTCATCTCTGCTCTTTTAAGCAGTGAAATAGCATTTTGCTTCCAAAATGAACATAAAAATAACACTGCATTTACAGTAGAAATAAGTTCAGTTACAAACAAATGTGCATTAACACCTGCTATTCAGTCAGAATCATCCCCTTCATGGGACACAAAATTAAAAGCAAATTAAAATACAAAACATACAAACATTTCTTGTCTGCTACTCATGACTCGGCCATTGTCAGTGATTAAAAATAAAAAAAGAAAAACCCACAAAGAACAAAAAAAAATAAAGCCCATCTGGATAAATGATTATATTAGTAGAAATAAAGGTTTCAATTTCACTGCTCATCCGCAGTAGCAGCTCACATCTGCTTCAACACAACTTGGTTGTATCCTACCCACCAGTCATATAACAATACCATTAATAATCAAGCACCAGAAATAATTTTACATATCAGTTCTAACAAAATCTAGTGGAAATTTTCCATGTGATCTAGTTTCACAATAAATATTAGAGACAGCAAACTTCCACCACTTTGACAAAGACATTTTATAGACAACCATCCTGCAAAAAACTTTACATGAAATGTATTCCATAGAAATCCAAAACAATGTAAACCAAACCACAACATCACAGTGACCCTTTACCTTTTTTGTAACATTGCTATTATCTGCAGTAACCAGCAAACAGGAATCTTCTACAGCTAAACTTTGGTTTTACTTCTTAAACGGACTACTTTGTGAAGGCCTGATCGTATAACCTCACAGACAACAAGCAGATCACTTCAGCTTCTGCAGATGGTGACAGGCAGTTATGAGAGCTGTGAATATACATTACTCTAGACACATTCAATTCCTTTAATTTAAACTTATCTGCCCACAGTGCCCAGAAAGCATAACTGACTGCAAAAAGCCGAGGAAAAAAGTCGCTAAAATAAAATTCTAATGTCAGCTTCTGCTCGCTTAAGCAACTACGTCTCTCGGCAGAAACTCCTCCAAACAATACGGCTAGGAATCCAAACAAAAATAAAGCAGATTCTGTCTGCGAGAAGATAACCAGCAGTAAATCCCTGCCAATAACGTTAAACTTACGGCCCACAAACTTATTCCTATTCCCGCTACTCAAGTCACCTTGCCACCAACCCAGGGCCGCCGGGGCACCACGGTACGGCTCGACGGCCTCAGCACCTCCCGCACCCCAGCGCACAACAGGGCTCGTTTCCCCACTCGCCACGTCTAAACACTACGAAAATCGTCCTCGAAGAGGGCCTCCCGGCCCCACCGCTCTCCTCACGGACGTCTCCTGGAGTGAAGGCCCTGCACCAGCAACCAAGCAGGCCCGGGCGACGGGGGACGGCTCGGGAGGGGGCGCCCCCCGCCCGAGCCATCCCCCCCTCCCCC